TTATTCATCGTTTTGACAATAAATAGACTTTTTTTCGTTGCAGTCATTTAGGTAAATCCATGCTTCATCAAGGGTCACAATATATTTTCGTTTATCTCCTGCTAAATAGAATTCTGCAAATTGCTCTGCGTTGTATACCATGCCTCGGCAAAAGCTGGTGAGCATTTTGAATTTAGCTTTTTAAGTTGTGAATCTTGTTTATTATTTATTTAGTGTTGCTACAGATGTACTGAAAGATTCTGCGCTTGATTTATGCTCCGAAGTTTCTGTAGTCAGCAAGGGTTTAAGTTCAGAAACATTAGAAATAGTACGTACCATCTTCGGGTATTCTCTTGGACTCTTCTATCCATATAGAAGTAATGATGGACGGTTTCTCCTTTTCCGATTAATAATGTTGCTTATTTGCTTAGAAAATTTAATATCATGCATTTTACAACGTTTCTGGATTATGGCATAGGAATATTTCTATTTGGAAAGAGCAAAAACATATCCTTCATGCGACACAAGCTTCTTGACACGCGACGTTTTGAGAGATACAAAATTTAAAAATAGCAGATCATTTCAAATAATAAGCTGTAGTCGGAGATTTTTATTCCAAGAAATTTTTCTTTTTTTTTTCTTTTTCATTTTCTTTTTTTCTTTTCTTTTGTTTTTCTTTCTTTCTTTCTTTCTTTCTTTCTTTTTTTTTTTAAGCCCAAAGGGCATTAGTCCAGAAGGGGTATTAATTTCGTTTTAGCATTTTGCGTTGTTTCACAATATTCACTTTTCATTATTGTTGCCACCAAATATTATCGCCCTGTTTTATATTTAAAGAAATTAAATAATGAAGAATATGTATAAATGTACGTGTGTTTCTCTCATTGTCATAAAACAATGGTACTTACACACATCAAATTTTGAATAACATAATCTTTCCCCGAATATTGGCATCTGGAAGCCTTAATTTTTTTTTTTTTTTTTTTTTTTTAAATTCTCGATTTCATATTTGTATAACTTTAACGATTTTTAATTAACAAATTCAACGATTTCAAAGCGAGAAAGGGCAACACTGAGGGGAAAAAAAGAGGGAAAAAAACTACTATTTTTGTCTCCAGCGCGCGAGACTGTGTATCGGAAATTCTAAATATATGCTCATTTTAAAATTATTTTGCGATATGCTGCTGAATTGAATTTTATGGTTTAAGTGCAAATAACATGGTATTTAATAAATAAAGGTAACACACAAAACGTTAAAAAAGTCCCTTCGGGCGTAATGTAAAATCTGAAAGCTTTCAGATTTTTTTTTTCCCCCCTTAATTTTTTTTCCAAATTTGTTGTCAAAATGTGTAAACACCCTCTGTATTTATCAGTGGCTTTGTATTTTAAAATTTTAAATGAATGCCCTTTTTTTACCACAAGAATAAGTTCGAGTTATTTTCTCAATTGCGTGCCTACGAGCCATTACAAAAGGCCCCAAAATATTTGAAGTGACATTCTTTTAATTCTTTTAGCAATAAAATTCTTGCAGAACATATCTCAATGCGAACAAAGAAACGGATGTTAGGACTACATATAGAAAAACCTCAGAACGATTAAAATTGAGGAATATAAATTTATGGCTTCTTTATGACTTCCTCGATCGTAGAAAATAAATAATTCCAATTTACTTTTCAGTGTAATTATTACACGCAATCGGATTATAATTTAGGGGAAACTGCTCTTGAAAGATCTTAATTTATGAGGAAAGTCATTATTTGGAATTATGGAGCATTTAATGACTGTATTTAAAGGAAACAATTACAAGCATTTTGTACTGCTTGTAACTTTCGGTATAATTAGCACTGAAAAGTCTTAATACTTCAATCTTTAAAATGCAGGAAACTTTTTTGGTTAACTGAAGTTTGAAATGGTACGTCACGAAAAGTTTAGTTATCAATTTCAAATCGCTGCTGACAAGAAATATGTAATTATAAGTTATGTTTTAACCTACAAAGGCTATTTATTAGGCTCGAAAACATTTTCCGTCGAATCTCTTTTTAAATTGTTGGCACCAAACGTTATCGCCCTGTTTTATATTTAAAAAAACTAAATAATAAAGAACCTGCATAAATGTGTGCATGTTTTTCGCACTGTTACGGAAAACAACGGTACCTAGAGCCACTCATTTTTGAATAACTTAGTCCTCAACCCCGAATATGTGCTACTGGAAGCCCGAATTTCGGATTTGTTTTATTATCTATTTCGTATTTTGTAAAACTTTAATGAATTTTTGATTAAAAAGGCTTAACGAATGGCGTTTTATAAATTAGGAAAACTTTGTCTTTTTTGATTTTTTTAGCCCATTGTTTGTTGATTCGCTATAAACGGTGAATCACTTTTAAATTGTTTCCACCGAATATTAGACCCCTTCATTACATTTAAAGAAATTAAATTTTTGTTTGTTTCTGGCATGGTGATAAAATGACTAGAGCCATTAAATTTTGAATAACGTACGTTTTCACCCGAATATGGGCATCTGGGAGCCTTAAATTTGGAATTTGCTTTATTATCTATTTCATATTTTGTAAAGGATTTATGAGTTTTTGATTAAAGACTCAACGATTTCAAAGCGAGCAATGGCAACACCGTACGGAAAAAAAAAAAAAAAAAAAAAAAAAAAAAAACTTTTTGTCTCGAGCGCGTGAGACGGCATATCGGAAATTCTAAAGATGTGCTCATTTAAAAATAATTTTGCGATATTGCTGTTGAAATGAATTTTATAATTTAAGTACGAAGAACATGATATTTAATAAATGAAAGTAACACACAAAACGTTAAGAAAACGCCCCTTTGGGCGTAATATAAAATCTATATACCTTCAGATTTATTTTTAGATTATTACTGTCGGCGCCGCTTAATTGATTGCGCTAAATTTTGTCATTCGAATATTGCTATCGAATTGCCTGTTTGTATACGGGAAACTTCAGAATCATATCGCTTACTGTGATCAAGAATTTGGTTAAATTGATCAAAATATTATAGTAAGAATTTTTCATTTCGAAGTAAATCCTCCCCCCAAAGGAAAATCTGAAAGGTTTGAGATTTTAAATTGCATTCAAAGGGGGTTTGTTTTAGCGTTTCGTGTGTTACCTTTATATATTTAATAATATAAATGTTCTCCGCACTTAAACCTTAAAATTTAGTTCTAGAGCAATATCGCGAAATAATTTTAAAATGAGCATATCGTTAGAATTTTCCAATACACAGTCTCGCGTGTTGAGAGATAATTTTTTTTTCGTTAAGTGTTGCCATTGTTCGTTTTTAAATCGTTGAGTTTGTTAATCAGAAATTCGTTAAAGTTTTACAAAATAGGAAATCCATAATAAAACTAAGTCCAAATTTCAAGTTTGGTCTTCCACATGCCCATATTCGTTGGAGGATTACGTCATTCAAAATTGGATGGTTCTAGGTACAGTTGTTTTAATCACAGTGCGAGAAACATACACACATTTATGCAGATTTTTATTATTTAATTTGTTTAAATATAACACAGGGCATTCATATTTGACGGCAACAATTTGAAACGTGAAACAACGCAGAAAGTGAATTGACGCAAAATGCCAAAAAAATTAATTGTTCTTCTGAGCTCCTTTGGACTAATAAAGCCAAAATGTACTTTACAAATTGCCAAATGACTGGAAAAGTCACCAAGTAAAAGATTAAGTCAACAAACTGTTTATTTTTCATTTATAGTCAACCTTTTTATGTTAGGCAAAAAAGCAACTCTTTGTTTAGTTTGGCACATTTTTTTAATAGTCCCGTTGATTTCGAGAACGATCAGATTTAGGTATCTTTTCTTTGTATAGAAGAAGAAGAAGAAGCCACTTTCTTTCTAAAACATATACAAGCGCACCATATAATAAATTTTGTAAAGAACGGAAAGATTAAACAGATAAATTCCATATAAACGCTGATATAAGGAATGCCCTCTGAGAATTAGGGTTAGCCATACACCATGATTCACGTAATCTCCAGAAACACTGGACACAGTTGATAAATGAACTTTTGAGTAACATTTGCAAACAGTTCACTATTAACGACATTTTTACGAGTTAAAGTGGTGTGGAAATACGCCATTTATATGTTTCTAGGTATATTTTTCTTTAATTACGTTCTATTGCTGATTCGACGCATATTTTTCGCATAGTTTATTGTTATCATTTGGTTAAAGTTACCAAAATAGCTGTAGACACACGTGTGCACATTATATATTCTAAAATCGGTTACCGAATTGAAGTGAATTAGTTAACCCTCGACTGGTGTACCGTAATTTATCTACGTAAGAACAGGGAGGCTTTCGTGGCGGACTTTTTAAGCGAACTGGCAGGTATTTAAGTTACACATGGAGCCAAACCACGAATCTCCAATGCAAAAAATACAAAGTGTGTAAAATAGATTTGTCCACGTAGTAATTATTTCCCTCATTTTCGAAGGTCACGCCGAACCTTTGCTTTCTAAATATCAAACTTTATACTAGCCTAATTTAAGAAACGACCCAGCACAGCGAAATAAACACGAACGGATATTCAGCCCACGATTTCTTAGAATCGGCTGCACATTCGGCTTCTGTAAGTATTTATGGATGATTTGAGGCTTAAGGAGCAGCAGAAACAGCAAGAACGGACGAGGTTCAAATTACAGAGAAGTGAAAATGAAGCTATCTTATTAGATATTATAATATCACTGTGTATTCTTATTGGAATGTCGGTTAATTAAAAAAAATAATATTGCGATAGGTACCAGTAGTTTACCCATGACGCCTTTTCATTTTTGTTCTTACTGTAACCACGCCCTTTGGAAATTATATAATTCGCATAGTTTTCCCTTCTCGTTTTTGGACGATAAAATTAGTGAAAAAAAAATAGGCGAGTTAATGTGACATGTTAGCGCTATAAAATCAGTCAAAAATACAAGACAAGTGCAAATAACGGTAATAATAAAACAGAGAAAAAGAGAGTGAGAAAGAAGAAAAGAAACTTTACCTGAAATGATAGTATATCCGAGCGTGGAAGAAATGATGACACTTTTCTGGAGTTTTTATCTCGTAAGAAGTACGAACAAGACTCTCGAGCAACGGGTTTAGCGAAGAACTGAGCAAGATCGTTTGAGAATTGTTTCCCACTCAGAAGACGGTGGTGGGTGGGTAAGAACGAGCGATAAAAAAGAAAAAAAAAAAAGTAACTTAAACAAAACAAAGGGACCATTCACAAAGTGCAGTATTTTAATAACTATGTCTGTTCGCTATTCTCAAACTCAAATTCGATCCCCAAAATATCACATTATGGATTTGCTTAGCATGCGTAACAGTAATATCTATACTACGTATTAAAATCTGTTTATTTCTGTTTATTATTATCTTCGCCGGAACGGTGGGAAGTTGAATTTCAAGAGGTGTACTTCCAGATTTCAAAAATTCATGTGAAGCATTTCGACCACTTTCATCTTCGTATGACGTTAATTAGCTCAGATAACAATTAAAAACTCTAAAAACGCTAATTTTCGCCTTTATTTTTCCGAGTGGCAATAGTCTCGCACGCTGGATATAACAATCTGCTTTATTTCGAAAAGTGTTGCCACTGGTTGCTTTGAAATTGTAGAGTTTCTTAATAAAACATTTGTACGCTTTACAAAATATGAAATAAAAATAGTAGCGAATAAATAAAAATAGTATATGAAATAAAAATAGCATTTAATATATTATTCCGGATTCCAATAATTCGTGGAAAGCCATTTTGGCTGTTCTCATCTTGGTACGACTTTAATTACACGAGATATCAATTAAAAACTTTAAAAACACTAATTTTCGCACTCACTTTTCCAAATGGCAACAGTCTCGCCCGTTTGAGATAAAAATGCTTTATTTCGAAAAGTGTTGCCACTGCTCGCTTTCAAATCGTAGAGTTTGTTAATCAAAAATTTGTAAGTTTTACATAATATGAAATAAAAATAACGTTGCCAAACATTAAATATATTATTATATAAGGTCATATTTTGACGTCGAAGAAAGTACGCGACGGCATGTGACGTCACTGTATGTCGAAAATGGTTCGTTCATGTCAGCATTTTAAATAAATAGCTGCTGTTGGCAACATTTTTGCTTCGGATTAGTATAATTGATACGATATATTATTACCATGTTTATTCTTTTATTAAAATTGAGTAAATATTGTTATATTACATTAAATTTAAATCATGACGTCATACGTATTAACCTGAAGTGTCAAAAGTTTTTGTTTCTTGGTTCGGCAATAAAAAAAAAAAAATATTTACGAATTGGTTGTCGCTTTGAAAGAATGAACTAATTTCTTTCATACTGAAATGTTTTCATACATTTGCTTTTCAGGCGTAAAAACATAGAACCTACAAATTTTGCTTTGTCTGCAGACCGCTCATCTGGCGGACTTTTTTGCTAGTCTGATATTAAAACCTTGCCGAACGCGGATTTACAGAACACGATTTTGCGTGTACGCGTTAATTGCCTCCATTTAATTTGTCCTGTGCGAGAATTCCTATCATGCATGGTACGCTGCAGAGTGTCAGCCGCATTTTGCTAGCCCTGTTTAATGACTGGTTGGAAAATTCATTCATTAAAGAAGTCAAATATTACTTAAAATAGCAAAACCTGAGATTTAATGTTGCCCTAATTATCGATAAACGCTCCGGGACAAGATACTAAAGCCCTCACAACATTGCATCCAAGTAAAGAGGTTTTACACTAACGCCTATTTATATTTCTGCAAGTAAGTAAAACACGACATACTAATACCATTTCGGAAAGAGTGCAACTTTTAAGACACTTCACAGAAATTATTAAAACATAATAATTTCTGTGAAAAACAATTGGCAACAAATGAATTCATCGAAAATAAATGCTTTTGGGCCTCAGCTCTGGTCAGAAGTTGCTAACAATTTTAAAGAATTTTGTTGATTGTAAATGAAGCCAAGGAAATCCTACCAATTGCAAAAGCAATAGAAGATAAAGGATCCCCCGCCAGTGGCTGGCCTTTGGTCGACTTCGGCTTGACCACTGCTAAGGCCAGAAAAGATAGTCACTTTATTATGAAAGTCCCTAATAGGTGGGCCACTTTTGGCTCCTATGAAGGGACGGACAGTTACAGCAATGCCTTCTCCAGGATTTGAGCACGGGCAATTTTGGAAAACTTTGCAGACCTTAACACGAAACTTTTAATGAGTTGCATCAGACACTGTCCCAAGCAAAATTCACTTGCTATTTAAAAACATAATTATTATTTATTGGGATATCTTCGATTCCATGTCGAAAACAAAGTTAACTTCATGCTGAAGGAGAATTTCAATTGTGCAATTTCGATTATTTCAATTATTGGACAATTAAATATGGCTACTGAATGATAGCTTACGATATACAGTGTCTCACAAAAGTGATGGGACACTTGTGCCTTTACAAAAGGAAACTATAAAATAAATTAAAAATACGTGTAAACATTTTTTTGTGGGTGTGTTTCATATTTAAATTTAGTAACAATTATTACATAACATACATTTTCTCAAAATATTAAAATATTAGTTTAATAAAAATACAATTGTTTAGAACGGAGCAAAAAATTGCTCACATAAGTGATGGGACACCATTAGATACTACTGTACTATGCAACAAAACTCGTTTGAAAGTAAGTTAAAAATATTTTTGGGGGTTTTATTTTTACTCAAAAGCAATTGGCAATAATTTATAAAATCGTCTGCAGTATTTCTCTCCAGTTTGTTTTGGAATTTTTGTGTTTTTTAGCACTGTGCAGCCATGAATGCTAAACGAAAAGAAACTTTGCCTGAAATTCGAAAATTAGTTATTAATTTGCATATTGAACGTGGAAAATCTATTAGAAAAACTGCTGAAACAGTTCACTTGAGTCATTCAACAGTTTTCAATATCATTAAATGATATAAAAATAATCATATGATTCAGGATAAAAGAAACCTGGCCGACCATCAAAGCTATCCAATGGAATAAAGCGAATTATCGTTCGAAGTATTAAAAAAGATCCAAGAATGAGTGCTCCTAAAGTTGCTGCTGATTTACAAGCATTATATGGAGTAATTGTTAATCCTGAGACTATTAGAAGAGTAATTCGATCTCCTGGATATCACGGTAGAGCAGCCAGGAAAAAATTCTTCGTAAGTGAAAAGAATAGAAAACTCAGACTGGCTTTCGCAAAATCCAACATAAATAAGAATTCTGATTACTGGAATGAAGTTATATTTGCTGATGAGAGTAAATTTAGTATATATTTGGTCCTGATGGTAGAATCTTGGTGTGGAGAAAACCCAGGGAAGAATTTCGCAAACAGAACTTGGTGTCAAAAGTAAAACATGGTGGAGGAGGAGTTATGGTATGGGGCTGTATGTCGTCCGCTCTAATTGGTAATCTTGTTTTTATTGACAGTATAATAGATCTGTACAAGTATATTGACATTTTAAATCAAAATTTGAAATCTTCAGCACGAAAATTGAACGTTCATAACGATTTTAAATTCTACCAGGACAATGACCCCAAGCATACTGCTTTGAACGTTAGACTCTAGCTGCTGTATAACTGTCCTGAAATAATAAAAACACTAACACAATCTCCAGACTTAAATCCCATAGAGAATGGAAAATTAAGTGTCCCATCACTTGTGTGAGCCATTTTTTGCTCCGTTCTAAACAATTGTATTTTTATTAAATTAATATGTGGTTTTCCCCATGTGTAACATGTATACGAGTCAGTTTCTCTTAAAAAGTCCTCCACGAAGGCATCCCTCCCCTTAGGCAGATAGCCCTAGTGTGCTTTGCCATAAATAAATAAATACACACATTAAATTAATATTTTAATATTTTGAGAAAATGTTTATTATGTAATGATTGTTACTAAATTTAAGTATGAAACACACCCACACACACACACAAAAAAAAAAAAATTACATGTTTTTTTAATTTATTTTACTACAGTTTCCTTTTGTAAAGCACAAGTGTCCCATCACTTTTGTGAGGCACTGTATATTGGATTAGATGTCAAAAACACTATTAACTTCATGGTGAATGACGTATTAAATTTTAGATAATTATTTATCTCGTTTGGATGATTACTCATTGAAATATATTCGATTCCCTGTCAAAAAACGTAGTTAAATTCATGCTGAATGATGTATTAGACTTTGGACAATTATGTATTCTGACCAGGATGATTGCTTACTGAGGTATATTATTAGTTTCCATGTCAAAAACATTAACTTCATAGTGAATGATGTATAAAACCTTGGATCATTAATTATCGCAATTAGATGACTGTATATGTGTAAGGTCGCGGTTGATCTGGAAACTAAACTCCAGGAATTGAATTTTATAGTTGATTGAATGAATTTTATAGTTTAAGACAATGTAAAGAGTTATCGCTATGTGTGAAATATGACAGCGTAGATTTAAATATTTTTAATACAAAAAGACTTTGTCCTTGAGGGACTATTGTTTTCGTTTTGCGAGGAATCGCTCTGAATGTCCATTTCACTTTTCAAACTGTTGCCACCAAATATTATCGCCCTGTATTATATTTGAAGAAATTAAATAATGAAAAATCTTCATAAATGTATGTATGTTTCTCGCATTGTGATTAAACAACGGTACCTAAAGTCATCCAATTTTGAATGACGTAATCCTCCTGCGAATATGGGCATCTGGAAGCCCGAATTTGAAATTTGGAATTTTTTATGATCGATTTCATATTTTATAACACTTTAACGAATTTTTGATTAACAAACTCAACGACTTAAAAGCGAGCCATGGCAACACTCTACCGGAGAAAAAAAAATTATTCTCAGCGCGCGAAACTGTGCATCGGAAATTCTAAAAATATACTTATTTTAAGATTATAAAGAAATTTATTATTTAAATATTATATTATTATTTATACCACTTTCAAGACAATCTCAAACATTCAAAACCCTCAGCTTATTGTTGCGAACGTTAATCTGCTTTCTGGTGAGTCATACGTCAAAAAGAAGTTATAGTAAAAGTCAAAATCATAATAACTCAAGAGCCTTACACATATATTGGATTCCAAGTCACACTAAACTTCATGGT